TGGCCCAGGCTGCCCAGGGAGGCTGTGGAGTCTCCTTCTCTGGAGATATTCTAGTCCCGCCTGGCCGCGGTGTTGTGTCCCCTGCTCTGGGTGACCCTGCTTGGGCAGGGGGTTGGGCTGGGTGACCCACAGAGGTCCCTGCCCACCCCAAATACTCTGGGATTCTGGGATTCCCGGCCTCCGTGTGCTCACAGGTCCACAGAGCACAGCAAGCCGCTCACGTTGCCTTCCTCTGTCGCAGGGGCAGACGGTGGATGACATTCCCAAAGAAGTTCTGATAGACTGTGCCCATCTGGTGAAGGCAAACAGCATTCAAGGTAACGCCGATTCCCGGGAGGTCGCTGGGAGCTGCTTGTGGCGAGTGTTTCTGGTCCACACGGGCGCGTGGTTTTTGGCTCAGACGTGTTTGAGGTTTCTGCTGCCATGCGCTCTGCTACGCCTGCGGGTCTTGGGGGAAGCAGATGTCGCCTGCAGCTGCTGGGGCTGCCCGTTAGACTTTCAGAAGGAGGAATTTTCAGTCTCTCAAATTCCCGTTTCGTGCCTCCGTGTTGCTGTCCGAGCCAAGGAGGCCTCGCAGTCTCTTCTCTGCCACCACCTTGGGGCCCCTTTCTGTAGCAGTCGCTCTCCTGGCAGAGTCGGGTCTCCATCTGGAGTTCGTTAACGCTGCTGCAGCGCTCGTGTTGCTGCAGAAAATGATGCCGTGGTGTTCTTCCGTTTCACGGTAACACTGGAAGGACTTCTCCTCTTTCTTCTTTCTTGCCGAGCTAGTGATGTTTGTAACAAGAATAACTGCTGGGTTCCATGCACGTGGAAGGCTTTGAGAGCTCCTGGAGCAGGGAGAGGATTGAAATGTCTCCCTTCTCCCCTGCTGCCTAGGTTGCAAGATGAACAACGTCAACGTGGTGTACACACCGTGGACTAACCTGAAGAAGACCGCGGACATGGATGTGGGGCAGATCGGCTTTCACCGACAGAAGGATGTAAGTGTTTGCTGCAAGCCAGTGACAGACTGTAACGGCTCCGTGTTAGGAGCTGCGTGGATTGGCTTCAGCATTTGCCCTAAAGCCAGGGAACCATCCCCTCTTGAAGCATAAGAGGGATCCCTGGAGGGTGTTTGGACCTGCCTGAACGTCACCTGGAAATCCATGGTGGTGGGTCACACAGAATCACAGAATGGTAGGGGTGGGCAGGGACCTCTGTGGGTCACCCAGCTCAACACCCTGCCCAAGCAGGGTCACCCAGAGAAGGCTGCACAGGACCTTGTCCAGGCGGGTCTTGAATATCTCCAGAGAAGGAGACTCCACAACCTCCCTGGGCAGCCTGGGCCAGGGCTCTGTCACCCTCAGAGGGAAGAAGTTCTTCCTCGGGTTCAGCTGGAACTTCCCAGGCTTCAGTTTGTGCCCGTTAACACCGGCATTCCATAGCCGACCATAAACAGCGGCATAGTGACCATAAACAGCGGCATAGTGACCATAAACACCGGCATTCTCAACGCTGCTAGAAAAGCGAAGTAAGACGACAAGAGCTCTGAGAGCATCTCCTTGGCCTCCAAGCGTGTCTCCCATGATCAGACCAGGGCTGCCAAAGCACGAGGAGGATTCAAAGGCCGGCATTCAGCGATCACAAAGCTCACATTTTAGAGTCTCTCAAGGCTTGGGGTCGGGTGACTTGGAGCCTGACATCAGTGGCGAGCGAGCAAACACAAACCTCTCTTTACCACGGGTCTCGGTGGAGACTCAGGCTGCTAAAAGAGAAGTTTTAGGTTTTTCCTTATACTCCTTGCTTTGACCTCCACGAAGTCCAAGAAGAAACGTCGCTAGCTGTCAAACAAATGCCTTGTGAAAGCCTCTGCTACCCCAAACCGACACTCCACGTAGGACTTCAAAGCCAAGCCAACACTCACTGGCATGTGGCAGTCACTCAGGCAAGCGTCCAGAGCTTGCTTCGGAGCGAGCCCTTGCTCTTCAAGTTGGCAGGACCCGCTTATAAGAGGAAGGGTCAAAACTAGGGTTTCAAATCCGTGAGAGCGGTAGGAAAAACCAGATGAGGGAACATTTTCTTGTCTATCGTGCACTGGATGGGGGATCGCGGGTCGGTCTGCGCTAGCCATTGGAATTGATCTCCGCTGGAGCTGTCTCTCACTACAGCTGAAGAGCCTGCGGCTGAGCAGTCGCTTGAGATCAGCTCGCGGGCGGTGGGGTAATCGCGTGTCTGGAAGGGCTCAGGACTTGAACTTGCTGTGCAGGGTTCTGGAGATGTCTGTGGGTGTGAGCTTTAGTGCCTGCTCTGAGAGCTCTCGTCCCAGTGCTGCCTCTGAAATTGTTAGACCTGTTAAAAGGCAGAGCTGCTTAGCATTGGTGTAGGGTCCAGCCTACTAGTAGTACTAGTAGTAATAAGTACTACTAGTACTTAGTACGTGCTGCCATTCAGCGTGACCTGGACAGGCTGGAGAGTTGGGCAGAGAGGAACCTGATGAGGTTCAACAAGGGCAAGGGCAGGGTCCTGCCCCTGGGGAGGAACAACCCCAGGCACCAGTACAGGCTGGGGC